CCCCAAAACCCCAAAACCCCAAAACCCCAGAATTCTTATTTATTGCCTGATAAAAAGTAGAACATGATATAATATAAATTAGATTTGGTTAGAAAATGGACCCTGAATCATAGAAAATGCTTAAGTAAATGCTGGCTAAATAAGAGGCTGAGTTTGGAGATATTAAAAATTCTAAGGAATTTAAAGCAATGGCTAAAAAGTTTGGAGATGATGAAGAAGATCCAGATATTGCAGCACTTAACAAAGAAATGGCTAAATATGGTAACTTTTAATATCTTCCTAAGTATTGATTTCTGATTAGAAAAATTTGCAAATGAAGATGGAGATGATGACTTAGATGATGATTAGCTTCTTGCTGAATTAGGAGGAGTATTATTATTGGATTTCATCTAATCATATAGGATGATGATGACTTTGATATTGAATAACTTAGAGTGTAAGAGTAAGATTTGATCAAGAAAGTAGCACTACAAAAGAAATTAGCATTACAAGAAAAAAATGCAAATAATATTCCGAAAGCAAAGCAGCATCTAATGGCTTCAAAAAAGATTCAAGAAGAACTAGACACTCTCTATATTGCCTATCCTTAATTGAAGCAGTAAGAAGCGAAAGCAAGTATCTAATAAAGGTCAGAGCAGTAGGTATAAGTTAATGTCTAAGCAAAGTAAGGAGTAGACACATAATTGAAAGGGATATCTCCCCCAACAAATTTTTAAGCTGAGCAGAAATAGCAATAAAGTGCTGCCATTAATATACCTGGATTAAATTGCAACTTTGATGATGATATTGAAGTAGAGGAATAAGTTCATGACAATGATAAAATGAATGCAATGTCTGTTATCGAGAATGAAATGAATATTATGAAAAAGTTTATTGCGAATTCTTCAGGCTTAGAAAAATCTTTCTATGAAGATAAGTTGAGTACATTAGAATTTGCTTAGAGTGTAATTAAGATACTCATTTTTTATTGATGTTTTATAGACACTAGAAAGCAATGTATAGATTGGTATTCTGACAGCAGAGAAATATTTGCAAAATATTAAAGCATTCATGAAAAGTGAACAAGCACTTTGTGATTAACTAAGTAAATAGTTAAAGCCAGGAAACAAACATCTATTAAGAGTTAAAGAAAGAATAGCTTTAGTTGAAAACGAGATTAAGGAATCTGAAGAGCCCTAAGAAGAAGAACAGGAAGAGAGCAAGGAGTAATTCATGCAAGTTGATGAAAATAAATTTGAAAGAAAATAGACTCTGGTATAAATGGCCAATAATGTACAAAAGTAATAAAATTAATCTTCAGGAGGGAATAAGTAATAAGAATATTAACAACTTGATTACAATGAAAAACAATATCTTAGAAGAGAGACTATAACTGAGGATTAAGTCGATTTCAACAGAATAAATAAAGAGCATTTCGATTTATTGACTGAAAGAATTGAGGATTATAGAGAAGCTTGCTCTTTTATGAAGGACAAGGTAAAGTTAATATTAGTTATTTAGTTAAATATAGATTGGAGACAGGAAAAAAGCGATTGAGTTTTTACAGATAGCTGAGAATCTAGCGAATTTAAAGGAAACTTTAGTTAGCGGCAAGAAAATTGATACTTTAAAGATTGATGCACCTGTGAATCCAGCAACAGTCCTAGGAATGGATGATAAAACTAGATTGAAATGTAAATTATTGATTATAAAGACCTAATAGAGTTTAACGATTTGATTGATGATCTAAATAAAAGATTTGAAGAACATAAAGAGAAAGCTCATAAATTGGTTGAGGCCTCTAAGACTGTAAAGAAGCCAGATTAAAAAGAACACTTAAAAAAGGAGGCTCAAGAGTAGATAGGTTAAGCTACAAAGCTTAAAGAATAAATGGCTTTGCTTAATTTGAAGAAGAAAAATCCTTGGTAGGCTCCACCAATTACTCATTATGAAACAATGTATACCAGAAAGGAAAGAAGGAATGATGATATTGGGCCTCTTAAAATGAGAGTTTGCTTCAAAACTACTGAAAGTCTGAAGAAAAGTGGTGCAAGCTATGTCAAATTGTATTTCTAATTAAATGAAAAGCTATGTCTACAATCAAAATTTGACATTTCTAAGGATCATTAGGAGGAATGGACTATTGATGATAAATCTAATCTGAAACTCATTGACAAAAAGGATCTGAATGTGGCACTTAAGAAGAAAAAATTCTTCGGAGTAGATGAACTTGAGAAAAAAACAATAAAATTATCTGGATTAGGAACCAAATGTGATTTCGAAAAAGAAATGAAGCTGAAAAACTTTGATTTTCTGCTTTCATTTCATCTGACTGAACCTATAAGGCAAAAGGATTTTGAAGAAATCCCAGTAAAGAAACTAATCATAGATTCATATCCTGAACCATTTAGAGGAGGCCATTAATCCTAATAATAACAACAGATTCAGCAATAAAAGCCAGTCCCTCAGCAATAACCAAAACCTTAATAGCAAATCTAAAAGCAAAGTGTTAAATAATAACCTGCTTAATAATAGCAAGTTTAATAAAAACCAGCTGCACAATTTAGTGGTGCTTTACCAGAAGGTGTGAACTAAGTTGATGTAGATGACCCTGATAATATAACAAATCTGACTTGCGTTAGTTTGCTAGAAAAGAAGCTTGCTTAGTAATAAGCTCTAATGAATAAGTGCATTGAAGATGGTGTAAGACCATCATAAGAAATTAAGGATAGATTGCTAGCTATAACAAAGCAGAAGATGGTAATTTAATATAACTTTATTGATATTTTCTGTAGATCATTGAGAATTAGGCGAAGACTGGCAAACTGACAGGTGAAATGTACAATGAGTATATGAGTAGATAGATTGCCAAAGATGCTTAATTGCTCAAATATTTCATTTAATCAGGAGATGTCAAAAAGGCAAACTTAGTTAGAGAGAGAATCAAGATTATTCAAGAGGAACTTAATGACTCATGAAAGATATTTTATTTTATTAAAATTCTGAATCCTAATATTTGAGCACAATGGGGTTTTGGGGTTTTGGGGTTTTGGGG